TTTTTTTTTTTTTTTAAGAAAAGATTTCTTTAAAAAACAAAAACAAAACTGAGACACCTGGGTTACATAATGAATTTTGAGCCAGCCAGCACGAGATAGCAAGCCATCTCTCAAAAAAACAAAGACAAAATAAGATCAAAACCACCAACGACAAAGGCACCATAAGAACTAACATTTCCCTCAAAGGCCAAGAGGGTGCTCTGAGCACAGCCACAGAGGAAGGCCTGAAGCCGGACTCAAGGGCCGTCCTACAGCTGAAAGGCAAACAAGTCTGAGGACCCAAGTTCACTGCCAGCAGACAGATACAAAGCCAGGCATGGTGGAGCGCACTTGTAACCTCAGTGCCGGGGAGGAAAAGACAGGTGGGTCCTGAGGACTCACTGGCCAGTCAGCCTAGGCCAACGGGAGGTCCTGTCTCAAAAAACAAGACGATGGCTCCTACAGACTCTCAAGGTTGACCTCTGACCTCCGTGTGGGCAGGCATGAGCACCTGTACACACATACACAGATTTATTACTCACTAGTCACCTGGAGCCCCAGGTTGGAAACATCCCCAAAAGCCACACGAATGAGCCATCATGGTGAATCCGTACAGCGCACGCTGTTCAGTTTCTCAGAGGCGGGAGCAGCAGCAGGCTCCTCCATCATGGGAGCCATGAGCAGGACATTTAGGGGCCACAGGCAGAGGTCACCTGTTCTATCACAAGCACCCTGAGTACAGGGCAGGGACACCCAGCACCTGTCCCAGACCCGGGGAATGAAATAGGTTTTGCAGGACCTCTGACCTCAGGAGCTGTGTCCTAGAGATGTTCTTGTGTTCCCAGTGGGCACCTCGGTCCCCTCATCAGACAGCACCACCCTGGGAGATTGCCACAGCTTCGAGTAGACAGTACCTGGGTCTGGGTTGGGCTCGCTTGCCTGGGAAGAGGGAGACTCTGGAACATGGGACAGTTCAGCAGCATCTTCCTGCGCAAGGCGGGTGCTCCTCTTACCGTCTGTGGGTGGGGACTTCAGAGTGGGCGTGGCCTGAGGAGTGGCGTGGCTGGAGAAGAAGCCAGACATAGGTCTGATGACTCCACAAGCCACAGAGGTATGGGCTTGGGGGTTAGTGTCTGTGGAGAAAGGCTCCTGCCTCAGCACCCACGGGCCCTGCTATGAGCGCCTGAGGGCAAGAGCTGTGTTCACTAGGCCTCCTGGGTCTCTCATGTACAACAGGCAGGGCTGGACACACAGCAGCGTCTCCAGTGACTGGTGAGCTTGGCAGTGAACCACCCTGGAGCCCTGTCAGCCTGGGCTGACCCCACCCATGCACCCTATGTGTCCCCGAGACAGAGTTGTCCATCCAAAGGTCGTCTGGAAGGGGACAGAAGGGAGGCCAGGAGTCACCTAGTAAGCGTCTTGCAGTCATCTGGATTGGAGCAATCAGGGCCAGATCCTGGGGATGGAAACTCACAGACGGTGTCTTCCTCTGCTGTGCCTGCAATGGGGACCACAGTGGCTTCAGAACAGACACCGAGGAACCCAGAGTCCCCAGGAGCAGAGCTAAGTCATAGATGAGGTACTGGGCAAACACAGCGGCCATTCAGAGATGGCGGCTTTCCTAGCATCTGCTCGCTCTAGAGTGAGGAGACCCTATCCCTCCGCTTGGGTTGGTCAGGGGGCAGACCTATGGTTGCTGGTTACTTACCGGTTCACAGACAAAACAACACAGACGTAAGTGAGAAGTGGGAAAAGACAGAGTCCCTGGCTTCAGCCGTACCTCAAGCCACTCAGCACCATTCTCCATACTTTCATTATAGGTACCCCAAAGCTGGAAATTTTATTTGAGAACCAAGGAGTCCCAAGAACAGAATGTAAAGTAATGCGCACACGCAAGCGCGCGCGCACACACACACACACACACACACACACACACACATATACACATGCCCCTGAGCTTGTCCTCCACCTCTGCCATACCCTTACTAGTCAAGTGATCATAACACAAGCCTCACCAGGCTGCTGTTTACAAAAACAACAGCCTGTAAATGAGTCTGTCATACTATGCAGTAAACAGTAAGTGCTCAACAAACAGCATGTCCTTTTCCACACCTCAACTCCGATCTCATCGCTGAGAAACGGACCCACATGGGTTAGAAGAAGCCCGATGGCTTCAGTGGAGGTGACCAGAGCAAGGTCAGCAGTGGGTTGACGTTGACAAAGCTCAGCAGAGCGCACCCTGTCATGACCGGAAGTGGACGTTCTCTGTGTTCTTGGGCTACTCAACTGCCACCTCTGGGTGTCAGACACCCAGTTACAGAAAGGGACTGATGGAGTCTGCTTTGCAAACACTGTATACTTGTGGAGAAAGTCTATAATAGCTTTGAGTAGATGGTCTGCTGCAGTTTTGAAGCCAGCCTCGCTACCATAGTGACATCCTGGGATACAGAACAAGATCCGATCTCAAAAAGCCATCACCTAACAACATAATGATCTATGCCAGTCAGTAATCGATATAAATATAATGAGATACATTATATTCTTCCTTACATATTAGGTCTTTGAAACCCACTGAAATACACTGAACATCTCAACCTACACCAGCCACAATTTTTTTCAAGACGGGATGTCTTTGTGTAGCCTTGGCTGTAGCTCTGTAGACCAGGCTGGCCTTGAACTCACAGAAATCCACCAGCCAATGCCTCCAGAATGCTGGGACTAAAGGAGTGCTCCATCACCTGGCTCCACCAGCCACTTTTAAGTATTCCTTGTCACGTGTGATCAAAGACAAGCGCTTCAGAGACAGGCCTCTGTCGCCCCCATGTGGCAGTCTCAGGAACACTACTCGGAGAGCCTGGCTCTGCCTGCGGGAAGACCAGAACCTGCCTGACAGGCTAAGCAGAACCTATTTTTCAAAAATAAAATAAAATAAATAGTTTCTGAGCTGGAAAAGCTCCAGAAGCCTCTAAGTCACAGCTCCTCATCACATGGGTGGGGAGAAAGAGCGGAAGAAACCAGCCCCACCCACAGGTGCAAAGCTTTGCTAAAGCCCAGTCCGAGGCCCAGCTGAGCATTTTCCCTCAGGCTCCCGGCTCTGCTTGCAGACAGTGGGATCTGTGTGTCCCTCAGTACCGAGCATTCCGTGATGCAGCCAGTCAGAGAGAGCCCACAAAGCCAGGAACCAGAAATGCCAAGGACACCGGTTACCGAAAAAGGCCTGCCCCACAGGGCCTGCAGTTTCAGCCCTTACCATCAGTTCGCTGTGTTGTTGTGGTGCCCTTTTTGCTCGGCCCCCCCACCCCCACCCCGTGTCTCCCTTCTAAAGAGCACACCACCACCCCAATCTTGAGAACAGAGTCTCACTATGTAGCCTAGGCTGGCCCCCTAAGCAGCACTTTTAATGGCAACCAGAGAGGATCCGTGATCCTTATCCCTTCATTGACCATGAGCCCCTCCTTCAAATCATCAAGAAATTAGAAACTTGGAGGTGGTAAGGCCTGAGGTCACAAGGCAAAAAGGTTTTCTCAGCCTTGAATCTGGTAGCCAGTGTCTCCCACCCAATGCCTGATTCTGAGGCAGGGAAGCCAGCTCTATTAGTCAGGGAACTCCCAAGGCAGACACACTTGAGGCTTCCTATTTATTGTTTGTGGGCCACCAGAGAATCCTCCCCGACACCAAGCTTCAGGCTTGGGCCTCAGCCAGCTGAGTACCTCTGATGGGATACAGATGTGAGCAGCAGAACCCCTGGGTGCTGGGCACATCACAGTGCTTTGGAGGAGCTTTGACCTGTCTGGCCCACGGTGGGGGAGGGGAGCACTGGGGGGGGCTGTGGCAGGTACAGCAGCAGTTGCACCTGGGCTAGAGAGAGATGGGGACACTCACCTGGGAACTTGACCACCTTCCCCCCAGGGCAGCGGGAGTGTGCCACACAGCGGGCGCAGGAATTGATAGCTGGTGTTTTGCAGTACATGCCAGGCTGGCACTCGCAGAGGCGGGAAGAGTTGCTGGAGCATGGAGCCTTCTCCACGAGACCTGAGGGACACAGGGAGGGCCATGGAAGGGAGGAGGGAGGAACACAGGGACAGTCCAGGAGGATGGTGAGATGCCACATGACCCTCTGCACCTCTCCTCAGATCTCCTGATCTGTGTGAGAGGGCAGTGGGAGGGTGGCCTTCGCCTCTAGCCCATACCCCTCACTCTACTACAGAGGTTACAAACAGTGGGGCTGAAGAGATGGCTTTAGTGGGTAAAGGGCTTGCTCTTCGAGCATAAGGTCCCAAGTTCAGATCCCCAGAACCCATGTGAGAAACTGAACTGAGCAGGGCCCCACATGTCTGTTGCAGACACAGGGCTCCTGGGGCGGGCTGGCTAGCCCATGTAAGTGAATCAGTGAGCTCCAGTGAGAGTCTCTGTCTCAAAAAATAAGTTGGAGAGTGATTGAGGAGGACAGCTGACGTCAGCCTCTGGCCTCCACATACGCTCACAACATGCATGTGTGCATACACAAACATGCATATGTACAAAAATAAACGTCCCAGGACATGGACGGAGCTGAAGTGCATGTCGCTGGGCCTCCTACAGAAGAGGAGGTTCTGACTCTAGCGGCAGGAGGGCCATCAGTGGTTGCCATGGTGAGGAGGATGGAAGGATAAATTCCAGAAGCACACGGAGTTTTAGGAAGTGCATGGTATGTTCTGAGTGCAGACACACACTGTCCATTGCCCAACCCATGGCACGAGCACCCCAGCTGAATCAGGGTGAGGGGCGGACTTGGCATGACCATATCCATACTGGCTCATGCCCTGTGCTGGGGTCTAAATATGAAAAGGCCCCCTCTGAGGGAGATGGCTCAGTGGGTAAGCCGCTTGCTATGTAAGAATGAGGACTTGAGTTTCATCTCTGGAACCCACGTTTTAAAAGATCAGGAGTAGGGGGATGGAGAGGTGGTTCAGTGGCTAGAGCACTGCTTGCCTACCATGCTCAAAGCCCTGCATGCCATTCCCAGCCCTGCATGAATCAGGCATGCAGTGCACACCTATGATCCCAGCACTCAGAACATGGAGGCAGAAAGACACACATCCACACACACAACTAGAAAGAAAATATAACCTTACAGAAAGAACTTTGCATGCAAGAAACAAAAGACATTTTTTAAAATACACTGAAAACTTTTAAAAATATGATTATTAGGTTTCACAAAAAGCTCAACACATCTTCCAAACTAACCACACCCCCAAGTCCCCACAAAATCAAAAGAAAACACCAGACCCCATCACTAAACATAAGCGATCAACATAAGAAGAACCTGTTTCAAGAACTTTTCTGGAAGGGATGGTGAAGGTCTTGGGAAAGGCAGCTCTTGATGCCAGGCCACCAGCTCAGACTCTGCCTCAACCCTTCACCAAGTGTCGCAACTCCAGGAAGGCCCTTCACATCAGGAATCCTCATGTTCCTCACTACAGAAATGCACTAAGAAAAGGGTCCTCCCTAGGGCCATTGTGAAGACCTGAGTCCTCCCTCCAGGGAGCATGCTAGGTCTCTCTGAAAAGTCTAGATGAAAAAGATGACTGCTGATAGCAATTCTCAAAATCCAGGGAGGTAAACGGAGGCGCCAGGGGACGAAATCCTGATACTTCCTGCCTCTCAGATTCCCCTTTAAGACACATGTCAGGGAGAAAGACAGGTCCTTACCTTCCAAACAGGTCACGCAGGCTGTGCAGTACCCATCCTCATTCACATAGTGGTCGGGATCACATTGCTTCCTACAATGGGCACGACTCTGTGGGCATGGCTGTGTTGGAGACAAGCCTGGAAAAAACAGCAGAGAAGTTCCAGGCTAGCTCACCTTCCATCCTCCATCTCTCTACCTAACCCCACCCATCTCTACTTCAACCCAAGGTTGTATCCGATAACTCTTGTGTTACAGATGGAGGCACTGGGCCTCGCTAGAGGTCACTAACCAGCGAAAGGAGCGGCTCATGTGGTGATATTTTGTTTGTGCTCTGACAAATAAAGCTTGCCTGGAGATCAGAGGGTGGAGCTAGCCACTAGTTAACCATAGAGGCCAGGCAGTGGTGGCACACACCTTTAATCCCAGCACTTGGGAGGAGGAAGTAGGAAGATCAGGAGTTCAAGACTACTCTGTGCTACCCAAGATTGAACCAGTCTAAAAGAAACAGAGCCCGGTGATGGTGGCGTATACCTTTGACCCCAGCATTTGGGATATCACGCCTTTGATCCCAGCACATGGGAAGCTCACACCTTTAACCCCAGCACCAGGGAGGTGGAGATGGGCTGCCACCTGACAACGGGTGGCCTTGGACAATTGCAGTGACATCATTCACACTAACAAGGTCTGTTTCTCCTAGCACTGAAAGGATTAAAGGGGATGTGAAGGTCAGCATTCAATGCACAGGCTGAGTACTGGCTGTCGTTCTCAACAGAGGGAGTCAAGACCATGAAGAGCCTGACCTAGGCTGACTGAGAGGTCCTAGAACCACCCAGCAATCTTCCTCCCAATCTTTCAGGACGCTGAGGGGAGGGGGTATAAATGGGGAGTGGGCATCCCCCCATCCCATCCCCCAAAAGGTTCTGTCTGCTCTGCCAGAGTCTGACATGTTTGTTAAAGTATGTTTCCCACACTTTGGTCACAGAATGAGCACATGACCCCGAAGGGCCAATCAGAACACTTCATTTTTCTCATCGTTGGCCGCACTCCAACAGACCGATCCAATCAGAGCTTGCCATCTTCCTCACCAACTGTGATAGGCTCAACCTGGGCACATGACCACCGGCCAATCAGCCCTATCTCTGAGCGTTTTCCGTACTAGAGGCTGTGGTTTTACCGCTGGATTTCTGGAAGAGCCCGACTTGGTGGCAGATCCCTTTAATCACGACTGAGAGTTAAGTCTCAGTATCTGAATTCCCTGAAATGCTGCCAGACTCTCCAGGATGGGTGTCTCTGTTTCCAGCCAACACTGAGTCCCCGGTTGCAGGGCCTGGTTCATATTGGGTGAACCCATGTTCTGCCGACTTCCTGAGTCTTAGAACCTGGAGAGAGGCCAGACTCTTCCCCACCCCCGCCCTGTACAAGGCCTGGAAGGAAGGGATAGGGCTCAGGACTCTTTTAGCCTAGGCTGAGCTTACTAGCAGGTGATTGTGGGCAAATCTCAGAACCCTTGCATGTCCAAGCTCCCCCTCTGGGTTCCTACGAGGTTCAGGGCTAACATGGGTAAAAGGACCAGGCGTCCATTGCAGTGCCCTGCTCCATCGGCAAGTACTGATGGTCCTTGTGTGAGGCAGGGTGAGCCTGTCACCAAGGGTATGTGAGCCGGGAACTGGGGAGTGCCTGTCAGGAGTGTCGAAAGGCTTTGTGGGCCTACGTAAGCAGAGACATGGGACGACCTCTCAAATTCAAAGGTCTCCCAGCTTCCTTCCTCCGCCAGCCCACCCACGTGCAAACCCTGCCACACAGCTGAGCGCTGATTTGAGAGGGCGGGCAAAATGTCAGAAATTTCCCCAAAACACGGAAGGAGGGGGTTTTTTGGTTTTCCTTTGTGGCTTGCCCGGAAGCACAGGGTTAATAAAACTCCGGCAAAATGCCCCGCCCACCACCCAGACGAGAGGTGCTGGGCTACCTTCAGCCCTGGGCCTTAGAGAGGGCAAGTGGGAGGAAGGAGCGACCCCTCTTTGTAAGCCTCGGCTGTGGAGAGAGCGTAAGATGGGGGTGTCTTTCTTTCTGTGATGGAACTGTGGCCGTGGAATGTCACAACGCACTGTGGCCACACCTGCTGTGGACAGGAGGGTGAAAACCGTCTAGAAGAGAGGTGTGGGAGGCAGTCCCCTGCAGCCAAGAAAGGCTCCCAGAGGTGGGGTCTCCGCTGCAACAGGATTGAGAGGGCAGAAAGGGGCATCCAGGGGTGAAGGAGACGGGCATAACCAGAGGACTAGAGGCCTGAAGCTGGAGAAGGAGCTGCAAGGAGTGACCTCTTTCAAGAGCAGGCAATGAACTTCCCGTTGGCCTGAAGGGTGGGTGGGTGGAGGAGAGAGGATGGGGGAGGGAGATGCTGTGGACTGGAATGGTGCTCCCCCCCCCCCATAAAATCCTTAGCTTCAATGTAACTATTTGGAGAGACAGTTTTAGGGACTCACTAAAGATACAGGAGTCCTAGTCCCGTAGGATGGGGGGGGGGGCTCTATGAAAAGGGGAACACATACCATTGGAAGGTGGGCAGGTCAGACTGCAAGCCAGGAAGATCGAAGAGCCCTCGACAGAAACCTAATCACCCTAGAACCTTTGGCTCTCCATTTTCTAACCAGAGGGAAGTAATGGCCAGGAGGACTCCAACAGGAATAGGGAGGAAGATAGACTGGATGGGGGAGACCAGCAGGGGAAGGGGAGGGACCCGAGAGAAGCTGGGTATGGTGGTACAGGCCTGTGGTCCCAGCATTCAGGAGGCAGAGGTAAAAAGATCAGGAGTTCAAGGCCAACCTCTGCTACACACAAAGTTCAAAGCCAGCCTAGACTACATGGCACCTTGTCAAGTTGTCATAAAAGACTGGTCACGGGAATATTTAAATTTTGATTTTATTTATTTCTGTGTATGTGTGTTTATGAGTGCATGTCATGTGTGTGGGTGCCCTTAGAGGCCAGAAGAGGGCGTCAGATCCCCTATCACTGGACTTCACAGGCAGTTGTGAGCTGCCTATGAAGGTGTGGGAACTGAATCTGGGTCCTCTGGAAGAGCAGGCAGTGCTCTTAACCACCGAGCCATCTTTCAAGACCCACAAAAACATTTTGAAATCACTTTTGGGAGTAGACACAATTAAGTTCTTTCTCCAATACTTCTGGTGGCCTGTGAAAGGCTGGAGTCCCATCTCGTGAGTCGTTCAGAGAACACAGGCCTAAGAACAGCTGTCCAAGAATCTTAGCCAGCCCCAGCCACATCCCCAATGACCTTGTATAGTAAGTACTGCCTGTCCCCACCCCCAGACAGTGTGCCTAGGAAGATTCAATAGTGGGTACATAAGCCTGCTACTCCCTACCGACAGGAAGCCCTCCAGACACAGTGACCTACCTCGGATGCATTGCCGTCCTAAAAGCAGGGGGCAGTTCACTGAGCCAGTGACAGACTTCCACCCACCCGAAACTTTCATAGCTAATGTCTCTTCCAAACAGACATCTATTCCTGGAGCTCAGAGACCACACCACAGCGTCACCTCATACCCCAGCCACCAATAGCCCCCACATGTGTTTGGGACTTTTGACCATAGTTACAGGGGACCAAAAATGCTTCATAACCCTTTTCTACTTTTCAGGCCTGAAGAACGTTCCAGAATTATTTCCTGGTGTTCCACCAGAACTCATGCTGTGCTAGGGGTGGGCGAGCATTCCAGGAAGCCAGCAATGGTTAGTCAAGCCCTGTTCCCCCAGAAAGTTTCAGCCTGGAGCACCCTGGGACAAACACATGTTCTGGCTTGGAGCAGACAAGAATTGCAAAGGTCAGGGAGAGGTGGTGTACTGCGGTCCCGGTTGCTGAGGCAGAAGGACAGCAAGTTCAAGACCAACTTGAGCTACAGATTTAAAGGCCAGCCTGGGAAATTTTATGAGACCCTATCACACACACACACAAAAAAAAAGACTGCCATGGATATAGCTCAGTGGTTAGGAGCAATTGCTGCTCTTGAAGAGGACCCAGATTCAAGTCCCAGCACTCACAAACACCTGTAACTCCAGTTCCAGGACATCCGACACCCATTCCGATCTATGCAAGAGCTGCATGCATGCAGTGCACACACATACATGCAGGCAAAACACTCATACACATAACATAAAAAAAAATTCAAGTGGGGGAGAGGAAGGAGGGAGTGAGAAGAGAAGGAAATGAATTGCAAAGGGTTTCCAAGCTCCAGAAAGGACAGCTGGTCACGGGGAGGGGGGTGGGGTTGGCCATTGAGATTCTGGTGTCACAAATTCCGGGGCTCCAACCCCAGCCGGTGCTGCCAGTGCCTCAGCTCTGTGACCCTGGGCAAGTCACTTAACTCGATGAACCCCAACGGCCTTAGCTGCAAAACAGAACCAGGGCCTAACAGGGACAATGTTAGGGTCTCAAACCCGGGACAAATGGCTGAGGTGCCTACGAACATATCAAAGCAAACCTGGCCACCAGGTTTTCCCAGCATCCCTCAATCCCAGCTTGTTACACGGCATGGCTGTCCTGCCCCATCCTCTAACCTGAACTCTCCAGCCCAGGGGCTAGGCTACCCTTCCTCTGAGACTCTTCCCTGTGTAATCCAACCATTTTAGTTATCTCTCCTTTTTTTTTTTTTTTTTTTTTTAACCTTTTACCCTCTTGGCTGCTGCCCCTGGTTCCCCGTCTGCCCTCTCCCTTCTCCTCCCCATCTTCACATGGCCGGGCTCAGAGTCATGTCCACTCTGGACTCTCCCAAATGTCTCCGTCTCCGACTGTGCTCTCCCTTTTATCTACAACAGACTTTCTCCTCCACCACACCTAGGAGCAGTCACGTCCTTTCCTTTCTATTTCTTTTTTTCATTCAGACAACAGTAAGTGAGTAGTAAGCTGAGACAAAGGAAATCAGCATGGCCGCTGGAACGCTCGTGGCTGGAACCCTGCATGGGCAACACCAAACGCTTAGAGGAGGTCTTGCATCTTTGTGGCAGGGGCGAGCTAGCCTGTTCCGTGGCCTTGCTCTTCCCTAGACCCTGTGACATTAGGGATGGCCTTTGGAAACCTGTCCCCCACCATGACCATGTTTGCTAGCTTCTATCCAGCCCTCCCCAAGCCCCACCTTGTCACCGGGTGTATCACCCACGAGGGTCATTCATCAAAACAAGGAATCTGTGTCCTGCCCTCAGTTCCCAACTCACCTGGGGGACAGCGGTAACAGCAGCTCCCAGCAGCCTCCCCAGGGTAGTAGCTGGGGTCTCCGGCACAGGTGGTCTTGAGTGGTCGATCCTGGAAGGTTGGAAAAACTGATGAGACAAGGCTAGACTTCTATCCTCAGTGCCCTGCGGTCCCAGGAGGCCTGGTGTCCACTCACTGTCAAGGCCAGGGTGAGTCCTATTGTCTTAGAGGTCAGGAAGAGAATCCCTGACTCAGCATCTCCCCACGGAGCTCACGGCAGCTCAGTTGTGGCTGGAGCACCCAGGAGTCTCCATGCCCTGCTCTGCTCACAGGCACTGCCCCCCCACCCCCACCCCCCTGCCACACACACCAGCCAGTTTTCTGAGCTCCCTTTAAGCTCTCAGCCATGGCTGCAGCTGGTCTCACCTGGCATACCCCTTCAGGGGGCTGACAAGCCTCCCACCCCTGTTTCTGAAACAGGTTCAGCAGTAAAAACATCTGGTAGGGTTACATATGGGTCGAAGTTCTGCATACCCAGAACTTCAAGTGGATAAGTACTCAGATTCCACAGGCAGGACCTAGCCTATACCCAGCATATGCTGAATACCCCCTCAGGAAAGAAAGCATTAACCCACCTCTGCATCCACTAGTAAATTCTCTCTGCACTTGAATTTGACATCAGTCTAACTGTCCAGTCTTTTCTTTTGCAACTGGCTTTTTTAAAAGTTCGTGTACAAAATAATGAGTTTTGTTGGACGTGGTGGCACACACTTTACTCCCAGCACTCAGGAGGCAGAGGCAGGATGATCTTTGTGAGTCCAAGGTCAGCCTGATCTACAGAGTGAGTTCCAGGACAGTCAGACCCTGTCTCACCAAAAAAAAAAAAAAAAAAATCAAACATGTTTATATCATTGTGTTTTGTTTGAATTCACTCCTACAGCCAGCTTCTCTTTAAAATCTCTCTCT